CCTAGTTGCAGGTGTGACGTTGCGAATATCCCGTGATTGGGGGGGGGGGTGCTGCCAGCCCGAAATTTCCAACAGAATTTCAAAATTTTCCAATGACCTCCCCCCTCTGCCCAAATATTTTTCAGAAAGACCTAACATAAAGGTGGCTTTTAGCCCTATTTATGATACTGGGTATTTAGGTACCTCTTCCCCCGAAAAAATTGTTGCTGTTTATTGTGCCGATGGACACTGCATTGGGGGGGCACCCCCATAGCTACGTCCCTGCCTGGTTGTTACAATACATGTCTCAAAGACAATGTTGAATTATATAGGCATTTTTTTAAATTTTTCATCTGCTTTAGGCATACTGGTAGTATTGAGTGTGTCAACAGTCTTGGTTTGGTATACACTCCAAAGAGAACTCCCTTCAAGTAAGTTTTTAGCAAGTATGAATATGACACATTGATGGTACTCCAAGTGTCCATGCCAAGCAGGCTGAAAACCTGGCCATGGTGAGAATTGAACCTGCGATCTGCTGTGCCCAGTCAACATCAATATATCATATTCACCTGAGTATAAAACACCAACACAAATTTTCAAAATACAAAAAAAAATATTACAACCCCTTATTTTTTTAAGAAATATTTTAAATTTTTTATGACACCCCGCCCCCCTCTCTAGTGAGAATATATATTTCATAGCCACCCCCCCCCCATTCATGCTGAAAATATGTTTGTGCCCCCCTTTTACACCTTAAAACTTTTTCGTAGCCCCCCATTGGGCATTAATAATGACTGATTAATTTAATTTTAGTTATCAAACTTACAAAGCAAGACGGCAACTCACTGCTATTGATTGGAATTTCCATGTTGACCTCCCACAGAAAACATCCAAGTCTGGTAATAACGTTGTCACCCGAAAATACAACCAGAGAACCCGGCAGTGGGATATTAAGAAGGTGAAGCAAGAAAAAGGATATGCATACATCCCAGTGCTTATTTCCCACATGATGAGGAGAAGAGCTATGGACACAGATTTTGTTACAACAGTCGTTGATCTGAACAAGAGCGACCCGGCCCTTATATCGCCAACTATTGCACATGTTCCACCACCAACCACTAAAGAAATCATTACAAGAAGAAGCAGATTTGCAAAACAATAAATATTGAAGATTGATGTCAGTGATTGCTGCCATTTCAAAATGCAGTGACTAATTAATGTAAATATTTTGAGGCAATTTGCTGTGCTTCTAAAATTTAATGTACACAATTAATTATCTATTTTTTTGTTATCATTGCAAATTTAAATAAATAATCACAGCTCTAAATATGAACTAAATATTAACCATTATGTACATTGTACCGTACCAATGCACTAACTTGTTATATGCACTCAGAAGAATTGGGTTCAAAAGTTTGGATTTATAAGTTGGTGCATTTCAGCAGAGTGCCACTGAGTCAATAGATTTAATATACACTGTAACAGCAAATGATGCAATCATGGCCGTAGGAACCATGGGGGGCAGGGCCCCCTGAAAATTCTAATTTCTAAGTGAATCTCGAAATGAATGCACAGTTGCACATGTTTTGAGTTTGCATAATACAGATCAATCTAGGTAAATCTAACCCCTGGAAAGAGTGGAAAATAAAAATCGCTGTTGAGCCTGCCTTATTTTTACCATCTTCCTTCAGCCCTGTATGCAATGTCCATGCAACACATTATGTTAAGGTACATAGTTTACTGTACTTAGTTTTCCCTATACCCCATGTAAACTCCAGTAATGGATGGCCACCGTTCCCTTATTTTCATTACTACACATGAAGGGCAGACTCGTCTGTTTCCTTTACCAAGATGCCCATGGCGTGCAAGAATAAATTGCCTATAGGCTACTTTTCGAAAAGCCCTACTGCTGTTGTCTTCTCTATCGTTTCTTATATCCCCTGTGTTTCTTATGCACAACTCGATCACATCAGGATCCAGACACAATTTCGCGAATCGGGAAGAAAGCGTTATGCATTTTTTAAGTTTGCAACATTTATTCTCGACATCTTGTGTCATGGGGTGACATCTGCCACAAACACACCAATCTGGAACAGAACCTGATGCTGAATCATCTATCTGATCTGGGTTATGTGTGTCGGAAGGAACAGGACCTTTGTTCTTTGTTTCACTGTCTGCCAATGCTGAACCAGTTGGTTGCTCAGTTGATGCTTGACCAAACTCACCAAAATTTTCATCCTCATCAAGATCATCCTCCATTATGAGCAATGTTTCTATGTAGTCCATACTACTGATCCCTCTTCGCAAGCTTCTTATAGCTAGTTTTTTTACCATGGCCTCATCTAAGGTTGCAATAAAATCCTAAAATTGTACAAATGTATTTGTAGCCTATATAAAATAATATATTCTTGGCTTTCAACTATTCACAGGAGAGACAAATGGACAAAATGTCCACCAGTGACTGTGGTTTCTTTTATCAAGACGACCAGCATGGCTGTCATGTCTTTTGTTCAATTGTCTCTCCTGGGAATAGTTGAAAACGAAGAATAGGTTAAATTCATGTTCATAAGTTCAACAATGAGAATAAATTTACTTTTACTTGTGAACCCAAAGTGAAACTATAAATCCTTTCAAATGCACTATAACCAAGTACCTGTATGTACAGTACCTTACTGTAAACTGTATCTGTATACAGTATTTCAATATATTGAAAAATCTCTATTACAGACCCTATAAGTTAACCTTGTTTACTTTTTTTGGTAGTCAAATAAGCATGAACGAGAGCAATGCTGCATTAGCAGAGTAAGAATACAATACAATACATTCTAGGTAGTTTTTGCCTGCCAAAAACGTAAACAAAGTTTACCAAACATGCAAAAAGGGCTTCATTTAAAACGTATTCAACAAATTCAAGTATGCGCTATACCTTGACATCTTTGTGCTCCTTTTCCCTCTGTGTCTCCTCTGACTCGGTTGGTTTAGAACTAAGACGAAAGCCTTTTTCTTTGCCTTGTTTTGCACGAGTATCCGTAGCTTTTTCACTCCTGTTGTCTCTTTCCCTTCCCATGTTTTCTGTCATTGCCTAGACGAAAATCATAAAAGCAATTGTTAAATTCATGCTTTCGATTTATCATTTTAATGTTTAAATTAATATATTGACATACTTACTCTATTCTTGCAAGGTTTATCGCGAGTACCACACCGGCATTTATCCGAACATTCGACATTTCGCCCTTTGCAACGACAACCTCGAGTTCCATTCTCTTTCCTTTTTACACTGCAAGAACTTTTACAATCACAGTGGCTTTCCTATGCAAATGTGGGAATGATCAATTCAACATTTTCCATCTATGTATTGTATGCAAATAAATGCAAATTTTTACTCACCATTTTGATTTTTCACACAAGCTTCGCTCCTTTGATCGTGAAAGGTACTTGCGCCGAATGGTTCCGGCCATTTCCGAAATGTTTTGTTTATGCGCAGCAAAGATGCGCAAACGGTGACACTGCTCCTTTAAAATTCCGTTGAATGTTTGAATTTGCCGCGTCAATTTGCATATAAAACACACAAAATGTTGGTTTCTGGCAGTAAAGAAAGAATGAAATATAAATTCGAACCTATTATTGTGAATTCTATACTAAATTTCAGGTTACGGTTCACTACTCCGAAGGTTCACTACTCCGAAGGTTCACTACGAAGGTTCACTACTCCGAAGGTTCACTAGGAGCTAGTCCAAAACATACGCTGGTTTTGAATTACAATTACGTGTTAAACTTGGCTGCTTCGCAGTTAAGCATTTTTCGTACCTGCATACACGCACGCACGGAAAAATTTAAATCCACTTGTCCGAAGGTTCACTACTCCGAAGGTTCACTACTCCGAAGGTTCACTATAGCTAGTCCAAAACATACGCTGGTTTTGAATTACAATTACGTGTTAAACTTGGCTGCTTCGCAGTTAAGCATTTTTCGTACCTGCATACACGCACGCACGGAAAAATTTAAATCCACTTGAAAGTCTTTTGTCCACTTGAGAAATAATTAAATGAATAAAAGGAAAGCATTTAGTTTTGTGTTTGATTTTAAGTGTACTTTTTAAGCAATTATTTAGAAAGATTTAAACTTTTCCGAGTGTATACGTACGTAAAAAAATGCGCAACTTGAAAGCAGCCTTAAGGCAATGTGACCAATGACTACGGATGCTACGTGAAATTTGATTGTTACGGTTCATCATTGAAATTTGTCCTGTGAGTAACATCTAGCTTGCACAAGTTGTGACTCATTAAGATAACGAAACAACATATTTTCTTTTATTTAATGCATATTTCTTCATGCTGCTTTACCTAAATGACAAAATTGCTATGCTAAAATAAAAAAGTGTTCAAAAGATTATTCTATTTATTATATTGTAGCTGTTTGCAGGACATAAATGCATAACTGAGAGTTTCATAATGATTGCGAGACAACAACGTTCAATTATTATTAGCTATCTACAACTGTAACACGCCATGACGTGGCCTGAATTTCCCAATCCTAAACCAATACCCTAAATCTGAACCAATTAGTGTAAATATAGGCACTTTATGAGGTTCCTTCTACCCTCAACAAATGTTTCAAGGTAGCTCCATACAATTTCTTCAATAAATTGTCCTAATGATTGCTCATACTAGGAAAAACTTTTAATAAAATAAAAATTGGGGGGCACCATTGTTGTCTTCGAATTAAACTAGTTTAAATGCAAATTAGCAGCCATTTTTTGAAATGCCATTGTTGCCATGGTAACCATAATTACGGACTTTTCCGTTACAGTTTCTGATTCTCAAAATACTGTTCTATATACATGACATCTGGTTTCATTCTTCTATAAAAATATCAATGTACAAAACTTTTTGGTCTGAGAGAAATTTTTCAAGAAACTGTATGGAGCCACCTTAAAGCGAATTATATATTCAAGTATGACGTATATGTTCAAGTATGACGTCATGGTACTGCATGTTAGATAAGACCCAGCTCGAATTGCTCTAAAATGTAGTTACTAGATGCGATACTGCATTCCAATAACGCTGAACATCTCTGACTCCATTAATGTAGTCGGTCTTCAATCTCTGAAGTTGATTTTCTAACCGTTGCCAGCGGCGACGCCTTCGTGTGGGTTGCCCACCGTTATCCATAGAACGGATGCCTTGATTGGTTTGAGCCTGAAGATCCTTCAAATGCCTTATAAAGATCCACAAGTTGGGATGGCGCACTTGCACACGGTTGTTCCAAGCGCGATGAAAGCCTTAATAATAAAACCACTAAATTGAACAATTGCAAGTAATATATACGTGGACAAACGTGCATGAATATAAATAGGCAGTTATATACAGTTTTTCATGTCTTGAGTTTTGAGTTACGCTGCCACTTTTGTAGTTCTTGGAATGGTACCAAAAACATGAAAGTCTGTTTGTATCTCAGAGTTGATTCAATATAATTGTTATTTTTATATGGTTGTCATGGAAACACATTAGCAATCACGCCCATATGAACGACAAGATTTTAATGAGAATCACTTTAGAGATATCAGACTTTCGTCTTTTTGCTGCCATCTCAAACACAAATAGTGCCGTCATGAGGACTGTCGAAGTACTGAAGAATTGTGAATACACGTAAATATATTGGCTGTTCCATCATTTAAATAAATAATAAAACAATTATTGATATGGAGAATTATCATGACCTCTGTTCCGGTTCGTGTTACTAAGCTCAACCTTAGGCTACGTTGATAACACAAACTTCGGCTTGATAATTCTACATATCATGCGAAAACCGAATCACAATAATTGATAAATCAACTGCAATTACCTTCAGCGTTATTGTTTGTACGGCAATCCATGTCACGATCGTACACATTCCACAAAGTTACAGGAAAGTTTCCATTGATGTAGTTGTTGAATACGTAGTTGAAAAACTCCACCAAACCTGGATATCTCCTAAACAATCGCCGTGTCCTATTTTCTGTGCGCAGTAATGCAAAGTTATTTCTCACGATGGCTGTTGGCAAAAAACCGATGGACATTACTTTTCTAATGAGCTTCTTCACACGCTCGTGGTTTCGATAGGCCCGGGTCAAACCAAGATCTTTGACATGGCGCCAGAGAGACTGGTTAAAATGAAAATAGCATCCCTCTATTCTGGTGTTAGGTAGTTCCGTCTGGATAGCAGTGATTAGGGCTTGCTCAAAATCGCATACAATTGCCTCGGGTTCCCATTCACTTCCAGTCGCACGCCGAATTTTACGCTGGAGAACTTGCAACACTTGCCAAAAATGGCCAATAGCCCTATTTGTCATAAGTACGATGGCCAGTGGCAATACTCGTCCGTAGTACTCGCCAAGTATAGTGAAAACTTGCTCGTATGGTCGTGGGGCTGTGCGAAAAGTTGCATCCATGTATAATTGTTGACATTGATCAATTGACATTGGTGTTAAGAGTGGTGTTACTGTTCCCCTAAGGAGAAAAAGCTTAAGAATAGAAAGCCTGAGTCCTTATAAGCCAAGTAAATTACATTAACATAACTTTCATAATGTGTCATGCAGCTTTGTCTCAGCCGGAATCTTTGTAAAACTGTTATAAGTAAGAGTTTTGGTGTTACTGTTCCCCTAAGGAGAAAAAGCTTAAGAATAGAAAGCCTGAGTCCTTACAAGCTAAGTGAATTACATTAACACAACATTCATAATGTGTCATGCAGCTTTGTATTAGGCGGAATGTTGGTAAAACTGTTATAAGTAAGAGTTTTGGCGTCTCTGTTTCCCAAAAGGAGAATTAGGTTATTAATATAACGAATTAGGATTTTAAGCTTAAGAATAGAAAGCCTGAGTCCTTACAAGCTAAGTGAATTACATTAACACAACATTCATAATGTGTCATGCAGCTTTGTATTAGGCGGAATGTTGGTAAAACTGTTATAAGTAAGAGTTGGCGTCTCTGTTTCCCAAAAGGAGAAGAGGTTATTAATATAACGAATTAGGATTTTTGGCATCTCGCTCGATAGATCTAATTGTAGGCGGACATTTTCTAATGTAAATGTTATACATTTATTAGACAAAAATAGGAGAGTTGCGAAAAATGCAACTATATAGGCCCTCTGGCAGGCCAGATTTCGTGTAGCCTCCGATAGTCATTGAACATTATGAAAACAATGATTTCATCATTTTTACATTCTTATTAATATACACGGACCGGGGATCTCTCTATTACCGCAGGTTTTTTTCCCAAATATTAAAATGTGACCGAGATATAGAAAAATATGTTATAACGACCGATTCTTTTGCCGCGAAAGTTGTAATTGTAATCGACAATATGCGGATAGATGTGATACTCGATACCGGATGTGTGACCTTCAACCTCGATTATGTCGTCCTGGTGCATGTTAAGTATTCTGTGCACCACAAACATTTCGTTTGGCCGATTTAGATCGCTCTGTACCTGTATGCCCTCTTTACATTTGTGTTTCGCCGGCATATTAGCAAGTTTTTTTGTCTGGTTTCTTGCATGTACGGTTTGTGATAAACTGATAATGAGTGAATGACACCGAAAACCCTTCCAATGATTTACACACCTTAATTTTTAATCTGATTACAGTTTAAGAGATGGTAGCAGAGAGCCAAAGATTGAAATATCCTCAAATTGTCCCCCCCCCAAAAAAAAAAAGAGTCAAGAAACGCGCACGTTTTATCCGATTCCTTCCAAACTTTATCACATGATGTTTAACAATAGTACAGGAGCAAAACCGCGTTCGCGTTTTTGATTTAGTACCATACTTTCCAAGAACTTGATTTGTTCAACATCATGTGGCAACGTTTGGAGGGAATCGGATAAAATGTGCGCGAAAATGTCCGTCTACAATTAGATCTATCAAGTGAGATGCCAAAAATCTTAATTCCTTTTATCCATAACCTCTTCTCCTTCAGGGGAACAGTAACACCAAAACTCTTACTTATAACAGTATTACAAAGATTCCGGCTAAGACTAAGCTGCATGGCACATTATGAAAGTTATGTTAATGTAATTTACTTGGCTTATAAGGACTCAGGCTTTCTATTCTTAGTCTTTTCTCTTTCGGGGAGCAGTAACACCATAACAATTCCGGCTGAGACTAAGCCGCATGGCACATTATGAAAGTTGTGTTAATGCAATTTACTTGGCTTGTAAGGACTCAGGCTTTCTATCCTTAGTTTTCTCTTTAGGGGAGCAGTATCACCATAACAGCAACTCTTACTTATAACAGTTTTACATTCCGGCTGAGACAAAGCTGCATGACACATTATGAAAGTTATGTTAATGTAATTTACTTGGCTTATAAGGACTCAGGCTTTCTATTCTTAAGCTTTTTCTCCTTAGGGGAACAGTAACACCAAAACTCTTACTTATAACAGTTTTACAAAGATTCCGGCTAAGACTAAGCTGCATGGCACATTATGAAATGTTAATGTAATTTACTTGGCTTGTAAGGACCTAGGCTTTCTATTCTTAGTCTTTCTCTCTTTCGGGGAGCAGTAACACCATAACACTCTAATTATAACAGTTTTACCAACATTCCGGCTGAGACTAAGCCGCATGGCACATTATGAAAGTTGTGTTAATGCAATTTACTTGGCTTGTAAGGACTCAGGTTTTCTATTCTTAGGCTTTTTCTCTTTAGAGGAGCAGTAACACCATAACAGCAACTCTTACTTATAACAGTTTTACAAAGATTCCGGCTGAGACTAAGCTGCATGGCACATTATGAAAGTTGTGTTAATGTAATTTACTTGGCTTGTAAGGACTCAGGCTTTCTATTCTTAGGCTTTTTCTCCTTAGGGGAACAGTAACACCAAAACTCTTACTTATAACAGTTTTACAAAGATTCCGGCTAAGACAAAGCTGCATGACACATTATGAAAGTTATGTTAATGTAATTTACCTGGCTTATAAGGACTCAGGCTTTCTATTTTTAAGCTTTTTCTCCTTAGGGGAACAGTAACACCAAAACTCTTACTTATAACAGTTTTACAAAGATTCCGGCTGAGACTAAGCTGCATGGCACATTATGAAAGTTGTGTTAATGTAATTCACTTGGCTTGTAAGGACTTATAGTCTTTCTATTCTTAGTCTTTCTCTCTTTTGGATGAACAGTAACATCAACTCTTAATTATAACAGTTTTACAAAGATTCCGGCTGAGACTAAGCTGCATGGCACATTATGAAAGTTGTGTTAATGTAATTCACTTGGCTTGTAAGGACTTATAGTCTTTCTATTCTTAGTCTTTCTCTCTTTTGGATGAACAGTAACATCAACTCTTAATTATAACACTTCAACAAGCAATCCGGCCAATCATGTTATAGTATCGATGTTTTAATTTGCTTATATATAAAGCTTGTAACATCGCAGTTTTAGTCAGTTGAATGTCGAGTTTAGTTTAGGATCAAGAACAAGCACGCTGCGAGTCGAATTGGATGGCTAGAATAATCACGGGTGCGAGAGGCATTGGAAGGGTTCTAGTTGAAGACGGCTTTAAATATCAGTTTAATCGACAGAGTCAATCGACGATGCATTGGCGATGTTGGCGAACAACTTGCGGCGCGAAACTAAAGACTAATCTCTTCGACAGGAATGATGAAGATCCAAACGTTAGAGTGGTGGAGAGAGAGCAGCATGATCACGAAGAAGACGATGCCGTTATACAGAAAGGAATCTTTCTCAACGATGCCAAAGGCAGTGTACGAGACGATCCAACCAGACCAATAAAGCGAGTTTATGACCAGCACGTTTCAGCAATTCACAGAGAGGCTGGCGGATCCGATCAAGAAATTCCTGATTTTCAATCCGTTCGGTCACAAATGTCAAGGGTGAAATCGGCTGAAGTGCCCGACACGCCCCAAGATATCGACGACGTCAACATCGAAGGTTCCTGGGCACGATCATGGAGAAACAAAAGGTTCCTGCTACATCAGGACAATGATTGGGGCATCGCTATTTTCGGCACTCGAAGAAATCTTTGTGCGCTTGATCAATGTCAACAATTATACATGGATGCAACTTTTCGCACAGCCCCACGACCATACGAGCAAGTTTTCACTATACTTGGCGAGTACTACGGACGAGTATTGCCACTGGCCATCGTACTTATGACAAATAGGGCTATTGGCCATTATAGGCAAGTGTTGCAAGTTCTCCAGCGTAAAATTCGGCGTGCGACTGGAAGTGAATGGGAACCCGAGGCAATTGTATGCGATTTTGAGCAAGCCCTAATCACTGCTATCCAGACTGAACTACCTAACACCAGAATAGAGGGATGCTATTTTCATTTTAACCAGTCTCTCTGGCGCCATGTCAAAGATCTTGGTTTGACCCGGGCCTATCGAAACCACGAGCGTGTGAAGAAGCTCATTAGAAAAGTAATGTCCATCGGTTTTTTGCCAACAGCCATCGTGAGAAATAACTTTGCATTACTGCGCACAGAAAATAGGACACGGCGATTGTTTAGGAGATATCCAGGTTTGGTGGAGTTTTTCAACTACGTATTCAACAACTACATCAATGGAAACTTTCCTGTAACTTTGTGGAATGTGTACGATCGTGACATGGATTGCCGTACAAACAATAACGCTGAAGGTAATTGCAGTTGATTTATCAATTATTGTGATTCGGTTTTCGCATGATATGTAGAATTATCAAGCCGAAGTTTGTGTTATCAACGTAGCCTAAGGTTGAGCTTAGTAACACGAACCGGAACAGAGGTCATGATAATTCTCCATATCAATAATTGTTTTATTATTTATTTAAATGATGGAACAGCCAATATATTTACGTGTATTCACAATTCTTCAGTACTTCGACAGTCCTCATGACGGCACTATTTGTGTTTGAGATGGCAGCAAAAAGACGAAAGTCTGATATCTCTAAAGTGATTCTCATTAAAATCTTGTCGTTCATATGGGCGTGATTGCTAATGTGTTTCCATGACAACCATATAAAAATAACAATTATATTGAATCAACTCTGAGATACAAACAGACTTTCATGTTTTTGGTACCATTCCAAGAACTACAAAAGTGGCAGCGTAACTCAAAACTCAAGACATGAAAAACTGTATATAACTGCCTATTTATATTCATGCACGTTTGTCCACGTATATATTACTTGCAATTGTTCAATTTAGTGGTTTTATTATTAAGGCTTTCATCGCGCTTGGAACAACCGTGTGCAAGTGCGCCATCCCAACTTGTGGATCTTTATAAGGCATTTGAAGGATCTTCAGGCTCAAACCAATCAAGGCATCCGTTCTATGGATAACGGTGGGCAACCCACACGAAGGCGTCGCCGCTGGCAACGGTTAGAAAATCAACTTCAGAGATTGAAGACCGACTACATTAATGGAGTCAGAGATGTTCAGCGTTATTGGAATGCAGTATCGTATCTAGTAACTACATTTTAGAGCAATTCGAGCTGGGTCTTATCTAACATGCAGTACCATGACGTCATACTTGAACATATACGTCATACTTGAATATATATAATTCGCTTTAAGGTGGCTCCATACAGTTTCTTGAAAAATTTCTCTCAGACCAAAAAGTTTTGTACATTGATATTTTTATAGAAGAATGAAACCAGATGTCATGTATATAGAACAGTATTTTGAGAATCAGAAACTGTAACGGAAAAGTCCGTAATTATGGTTACCATGGCAACAATGGCATTTCAAAAAATGGCTGCTAATTTGCATTTAAACTAGTTTAATTCGAAGACAACAATGGTGCCCCCCAATTTTTATTTTATTAAAAGTTTTTCCTAGTATGAGCAATCATTAGGACAATTTATTGAAGAAATTGTATGGAGCTACCTTAAAACATTTGTTGAGGGTAGAAGGAACCTCAAAAAGTGCCTATATTTACACTAATTCTTTGGTTCAGATTTAGGGTATTGCTTTAGGATTGGGAAATTCAGGCCACGTCATGGCGTGTTACAGTTGTAGATAGCTAATAATAATTGAACGTTGTTGTCTCGCAATCATTATGAAACTCTCAGTTATGCATTTATGTCCTGCAAACAGCTACAATATAATAAATAGAATAATCTTTTGAACACTTTTTATTTTAGCATAGCAATTTTGTCATTTAGGTAAAGCAGCATGAAGAAATATGCATTAAATAAAAGAAAATATGTTGTTTCGTTATCTTAATGAGTCACAACTTGTGCAAGCTAGATGTTACTCACAGGACAAATTTCAATGATGAACCGTAACAATCAAATTTCACGTAGCATTGTAGTCATTGGTCACATTGCCTTAAGGCTGCTTTCAAGTTGCGCATTTTTTCACGTACGTATACACTCGGAAAAGTTTAAATCTTTCTAAATAATTGCTTAAAAAGTACACTTAAAATCAAACACAAAACTAAATGCTTTCCTTTTATTCATTTAATTATTTCTCAAGTGGACAAAGGACTTTCAAGTGGATTTAAATTTTTCCGTGCGTGCGTGTATGCAGGTACGAAAAATGCTTAACTGCGAAGCAGCCAAGTTTAACACGTAATTGTAATTCAAAACCAGCGTATGTTTTGGACTAGCTATAGTGAACCTTCGGAGTAGTGAACCTTCGGAGTAGTGAACCTTCGGAGTAGTGAACCTTCGGAGTAGTGAACCTTCGGACTAGTGGGAAGTCACCCAATAAAATACGATCAACATTCCCGAACACTGATCAGCGAGCTTACATGGAGTTTGAAAAAACAGCTCGATGGTTCATCCTCGTTTGTATCAGTCTTGTTTGCAGTTCCCTATTTTCAATAATATGAGAACAACACTTGTCGCGTGAATTTATAATTGTCTGGACTTATCAGATTATGTAAATATGTATGTAGCTAAAATATTCATATCTGATTAAACCTTACGCCTGTCTCTTGTTGTCAGTTGCGCAGGCGCTTTCCTCCAAATAGTAGGCACAGAATCTGGTTTGATTCGTCTTTGCAAACCATCCAAATGAAATAAACGCTCAAAACAATTCGTTGAAAAATGGTCCAAACAAATCATGAATCCAATTTCCCGCGAGCTTGGATAAAAATTGGCGTGCTTAGTTTGCACAAATCTAACCGATATACTTCTCAAAGATTCGTCATTTGGGCTCTTATGCAATGATCTACCCGCGTTTTTGTTAGAAGTATTGCTGCAATCTTGTACGTACAACACAACGCGACGAACGGACGAAGGCATGATCGAGTTTTACTATAGTCGCGTATATATTTTTATGTTGCACGCCAGAATGTGTTGAGACTATGACGTCAAAGACTCCCGAACACTTGAACTTTCCAATATGGCGGATTTTAATGGCGGCTGCCAAAATTCGAACTTCATCGTCGTATAACTCAGGCCAAATATAAGATATCACGCTAAAATTTTGCGTGACAGCTTCTTTATACGCATTCTTCACAATCAAGGAAAAAAAACAAAAGTGAAAATTTGGTCACAGTGGCACTTTAAATTATCCAAACATTAAAAGTATGTAAAATCCCTAATCATGATACAGGGATTTAATATTTAGGGTTTATACATAGATACAAGATAGGAACACTGAAAGAACAGTAAGCAAACAAGGACGTGCATGGAAATGACGTTTCTGGTAAATTTCGTTAAGCGAGAATCTTTTACATACCTTTTGCGCCATTTCCAAGTAATATACAGCCACATGAAAATCCTGTTCTTTGAGGTATTGGATCCAGCCAAGCAAATACCATACCTAGAATTATAATATTCGAGGTGAATAAAGCATATTCTATATTATATATTTATTGTATGCGTCGATGAGAACAAAACATGTCCAGCTCCTTACAAAACCACCTCGAGTTAACAGTGATGTATATAGTTACAAGCAGGGCTATATTTCCCCTCCCCTATCTTGGCAGGGCGAATTTCTTTCCCACTAAGAGTAACGTAACTTAAGCAAAAATATGAAAATTAGGACTGAGTAATGAAAACCCACTTTTTAAAGCCTTTCCCCTGCCATGAGGTGTTACCTGACGGGTCACAATTTCCCTTATAGGAGTACATTATTTTTGTTAATCTATCCAGAACAAAGAGACGCAACTAATCTTTTATCGCGCGATCCTGTAAATATTTATGATATTTCAAAGTAGTATTTCAATAGTTTAACCAATAACCACACATTTTAAAATCATTACAGTAATCTATAGGTTAACATTGTCTCAATCATGTCTTTTGCATTGTTAATTTCAACTCCTACTGTAACAGTGTAAATCCATTGTATTTTAACCAAAGATGCATGGATATTCAATTGCTCTATTTACCATTGTTAAAACAGAAATGGAAATGAGATATATACGCCCTTACTGTGCAACCATCGGTTAAATTAAAGAGTGAATATCCAGAGCATTGAAAACGAGGGTTTATGTGCATGGGCGTGATAGCCGTCCATAGTCGGCAAGATAGAGGTCGGCAAAACGTACCAGACATATATTGATCGACCATTGTGAGATTGGTCAAGCTATAATACACTAAACTAAATTGGACAGTCTTGGCCTCTTAAAGAATACTAATTAGGAGTGTTTTATCAGGTTTAAAGCCACTGCCGTGTCATATTATGGTTGACATGCATGATTTGTCAATAAGCTTATGAATTATTAATGAGTGTTTGAAGTGCTTTTTATCAAAGGGAACCTCTTCCTAGACTATAGACTAATACCTGAACAACTTCATCGTCCTCTGACAAAAGTTCTTCCAGCACAGTGCAAGCATTCTATTACAAAGATATAAAAATAGCACCAACGATAAACTGTGAAACTGACATACAGAGTATGGATGAGCGGAAATATAACTTGACAGTGTTTAATTGGAATTTCTGAGTAAAGATATAATACTTTTGAAAAGTTCATTCTCAACATGACACTTCATGTTATACTCACATCAAATTCCTCTACCTCAATCAACATTTTTGAAAGTGATATTCTTGATTCGTACGACGGCATTCTAGTACCCTGAAAAATTTATCCACTAAAATTATAACAATGAAATAAAATCTAGAAAACAGTATAAATGAAAGTATTAAGTTTAATAAACATATTAAAGTACCTAAATTTTCTATAACAACTTGAAAATACTGTATGTTACAACGTAAATATGTTATACAACGAACGTCTCTGCCAATTCATGCACATTTTATTTTATATTCTAGTTTCGACTATGTCATAAATATATAGAAAAAATAGATAAAATAAAAAGGTGCATATACAGTAGTCAATTAAAAACATGTACAAACAATATATAAGGTTACATTATATATCTCTAGTGTCACCAATACCATAGTAGCTAATAAAGGCCGGCTCTAGGACAAAACGGTTTGCGCATGCGCGGGTTGAATTGATGACGTCACTTCCGGTTGAATCGATGACGTCACTTCCGGTTCCCCAATTTCCCGCGCCGTCCTGGGGGTCCTCTGCCTGCCGGACACCTCCCCCGTGCTCGCGCATCCGTGGTCGCGAACACGCAGGTACGCAAGTTCGTACACACGTGCTCTGACAGTTTGCCGCAAATACTCGTGGGTGTTGACCCGATGTTACGAGGGCCCCGCACGCCCTCACACCCACGTGCCCGTACGCCCCGCATGCCCACACGTCCACATGCCGGCATGCCCGCACGCCCGCGCGTGCTCACACGCACGCTTGTCGGAGTCTTGCTGAACAGAATCAACATTTATAGAAGTGTTTGTATAATAAAAGGAACCATGTCCATTTCCATAACCAGAGCGGAAGACTTCTCCGAAAAATCGTTTGACTTTGAGGAACCCGTCGGAAACAGGTTCGGGTCCGAAAGTATTGGACTTGTGGCAGAGGATGGTGGACCCCTGTTATTGCAGCTGAAGGACTGCTTGGCCTACGGAATCAACAAGGACAAGAAGTTCGGTAAGGAGAACTTCACCATTCCACTGGCGGTTGGGAACCACAAGGACTTCGTATCGGCCTTGGAAGTACTAGAGAGGAGGTGTGCCGAGGAGGTTGGGAAGTCAGGAACGAAAGCCATAAGGTGTTTCTACCGGAGTGGGAAACAGCCCGTCCTATACGCAAAAATCGACAAGACCACGGTGATGTATAGGGATGGGGAAGGGGATATGGATCCCATGAAACCCATCGACAAGCACTTTCATCTGGATGCTTTGGTTAGGTTCCCGAGTATATACGTGTCCGGGGATATGGTATCCGTCCAGGTATTGCTTCAGGAGGGGTCAGCGACCATTTGTCAACTACAACATCAAAGCAAAGATACCTATATAATAAAGGGACACCTTCCTATACGTCCGGTTCCTCGGACATTTTGTGAACTCCATTGCTTTTTTCAAACCTTATAGGTTTGAAAAAAAACAGAATCAACTTTAAAACCACCTTATAGATAAGTTTTGCTATATAATAAAAGCAATGGAGTTTACCAAACAAAATGCTCCAATTTCGCACAAAAAATTCGCATCCATTGAACGGATGAGGACTGACGTCTTTGAGATGGCCAGGGAGAGAGGTCTAGAAATAGAAGGGAAAATTAGCAGCCACTTCGACGAACTGATCAAGAAGGAGAAGAGGAAAATCGTCGGAAAGGAAGTTAAATCGGCGGCAAGACAGTTCCGGAAACGAAGAAAGCAAACCGAGGTCAACGCGAAAAGGGAAATAAGGGATGCGAAGAAATGGAAGAGCGACATCGTCAAAGAAGAGAAAAGACGACGGAAGGAAGTTACGGACTGGAAAGCTGAGGCTCAAAAGTGGAAGAAAGAAACACAACGCCTGCGACGGAATGCAAGGGCTAGGGAAAGACGGGTCGAGGAAAACCGTAGGATCGCAGAGGGTAAGTGGAGGGGTAAGAAAAAATTTGCCAAACTCCAACTGAAGGTGGGTGACAAGCTTAGCAAAATATGGGAAAAGCCGAGGGAAATCCTGGAACCCATCCTAGCCAAACACGCCATCAAGGGAAAAGTAAGAAAGTACTTCATCACCTCAAACGGTAACTACGACCCATCTTACTTCCTAACCATCACGGAAGACGAGGTTAAAACACTCATAAACTCCGAAACGGAACCCAGTAACGTAAGGATGTCCCTAGCCTGTGAAATGGTAAGGAGCGACCCGAAAACCGGGGAGGAAGTGTCAACCATCGCTCACTTCGGATCGAAGAACCACAAACTTATCGGTACGGACGATACGGAAGAAACCCAGAGCATCATGAGGGAAAAGATGCTAAAGTCCTTTTCGGAATACCAGAGGAGGGGCAGTGGATGGAGACTACGAAGGGTTACCCGGCTGGAAATCCACATTGGAGAGTTCCGACCACTTAGGGGCATGAAGCACGAACCACTACCCAAATCCATCGCCGGCAAGAAAGCAATTATCAACATGAAGAACGACGACGACGAATGTTTCAAGTGGGCTGTCACACGTGCCCTGAACCCTACCGACATCCATCCGGAAAGAATCACAAAAGAACTTAAGGGCCAATCCGAAGAGTTGGACTGGAAAGGGATTGAATTCCCAACACCGATAGACGGTATTAAAAGATTCGAGAAAAACAACAACATTGGCATTAACGTGTTTAGCGCCGACGAAAAACTCAAGGTCTACCCCTTACGAGTATCAGGAAAGTCCGGCCCTATGAGACTCTTCCTATGGAAAAACCATTACAGTGTCGTCAAAGACATGTCCAGACTTGTAGGCTCACAAATCAGCAATAACGAACACAGGAAACACATATGTGATCGATGCCTTAACGCATTCGGATCGAACGAACTCCTGGAAAAGCATCTGGAATTATGCTCGAACAACGACTACCAAAGACACGAGTATCCAAAACCCGGAAGCACCACGAAATTTGAAAACTACGAAAAGATACAGGAATTTCCGATCGTCATCTATGCGGACTTCGAATGCTACATCAAGAAATTGGATGCAAAGGAACAAAAACTGGACGAGTCAAGTACCACACAATACCAGAAACACAACCCAGGCGGATTCTGCTACTACATTAAGTGCTTCGACAACTCCATCTACAAACCGAAGCTGGTACATTACACCCAGCAATACGAAGGAGAAGACATCACCAAAAAATTTGTTGACCTCCTCGAGGAGGAAACCCGATATATCTACAGCAAGTTCAAGTTCAAAAAGCCCGTCAGAATGACCTCCAGGGATACCAAAGACTACGAAGAAGCAACCAACTGCTACACATGTAAGGAAGAATTCACCCTAAAAGACTACAAAGTCAACGACCACTGTCACTACACAGGCAAATATAGGGGTGCAGCACACAACTCGTGTAACCTCAGGATGAGGCAGCCGAAATTCATACCAGTCCTCTTCCATAACCTTGAAGGGTACGATGCCCACCTATTCATCAAAAACCTCGGTGTGAACAGCGGAGACATCAAGTGCATCCCTAAGACGGAAGAAAAGTACATATCCTTTACCAAAGAGGTAGAGGTCGATACATTCAGAGACAAGGATGGTAAGGAAAAGAAGGTTAAAAGGGAACTAAGATTCCTGGACTCCTTCAAATTTATGGCAAGCTCCCTGGACAAACTCACCAAGGGTCTGGGCAAGGACGACCTCGGAAATCTGGACCCAATGACATCCCACTACACCACAGAGCAACGGGAAATCCTTAAGCAGAAAGGTGTATACCCCTACGAGTACATGGATGAATTCGACAAGTTGAAAAAAACATCCCTCCCACCCAAGGGTAAATTCTTCAGCAGTCTAACCAACGAAGACATCAGCGACACCGACTACAGGAGAGCACAGAATGTGTGGAACACCTTCGGTATGAAAACCATGAGGGATTACCACGACCTCTACCTCAAAACGGACGTCCTACTCCTGACAGACGTTATGGAAAACTTTAGGAAGGTATGCAGAGCAAACTACGGACTCGATCCCCTGTGGTACTACACATCACCGGGACTGGCGTGGGATGCGTGTCTAAAACTAACCGAAGTAGAACTGGAGTTTATTTCCGATCCGAACATGTATCTACTCATAGAAAGAGGAATCCGCGGAGGAATCAGCACCATCACCAAAAGACATGCCATAGCCAACAACAAGTACATGGCTAACTACGACCCCAAGAAGAAAAGCAAGTACCTCCCCTACCTGGACGCAAACAACCTATACGGATGGGCAATGAGTCAGCCCCTACCCATCAAGGACTTCAAATGGATGAATGACAACGAGTTGGAAAAATGGATGGAACACAGCTGCATCCTCGAAGTGGACCTCGAATACCCGGATCTGATACGGTAGGAACACTGATCTAATAGTAGACTGGATATAGCTTCTCTAGGTGTGAAAAGTGAAGCCAAATTATATATGCGAAAATCACTTCCGGGGACCACGGAGTGATACAAATTACTATAGAAATGTAGGCGAACAACGTGAACCAAGGTGAATTTTCCCGAATTTGAGATACTTTGCGAAGTTTTACCAAGCTCATCGCTCCACCATGCGTAAAAGATATTATGTTAATGCTTTTAAAACGAAAATTATCCAGATTGCCCTAAAATATCGTCAGTTTTATTCGTTCAAAGTTGTCCATGCGGGAATTATATTTTATCGCCACAGTGGTATGACAACACAATTTCTAGTTTGCTTTCCAATTACGGAGACAGAATATGATCAAGCAAACTTTTAAAGGGAAGTAAGTAGTTCATTTATCATTTATGTTTAACCTTGATCGACCAGAAGGTTTCAAACTTTCAAATTATCCATCTTAATAAGCCTTTTTACAAAATATATATACACAGTAATCAATACTAATCATTACATGTCTTTACTGTAATAGTTCTAAAGATATGTAATAAATATATTTGTACTTTTAGTACTTGTTTTTTTTTGTTATTCTGTTAAACTGGAAGACAATCTTAATGAAGCTTTCTGTAGTAAGAGTGAATCTACTTTTATATTGCAGTTGAATTTTGAACTTTCAGTTGCATAGTCAG